CAATCAATCCTGGACTGTGTGGATGTTGGCATGATTTGAGGTGTGGAGTGGAATCACATTCTCCTGTAGTGAATATCAAAATGAGGATATTTATCTTAGACAGATGAGAGTTCCCTGGACAGACAGTATATTTCCAACTTTCATCTTAGCTAGCATTTTTCTATAGCCTAGTCCTACTGCTTTTCCGACAATTTACACCTAACACATTCTCGTCTGAGTTTTCAAGAAAACATGCAATGATCATGCCATCCTGCTGATCTCAATCAGCCGATGGCCAACACGCTAACCACCACCACTAATTTCATCTGCTATTCTGCTGTTACGTAATACATGTACTCACAACTTTCTTGTCATGACAAGCCATGCTCTTTGGACGAAAGTTTCCGCCGCACCACCATTCGTAATTTGCGGTTTCCTGATATCCTTATAATCGTTTTTCATTCAAAATATGATTTAATAAGTTGTCATAATAACCCCTCGATTTTCATCTATTTCCATAAGCGCCCCCTCAATTTTCACTCTGTTTTGATAAGCGCCCCGTTCGAATAAGCGTCCCGTTTGAATAAGCGCCCCGTTTGAATAAGCGCCCCTCAAAAAGTGCAAAAAATATTTTAAGCGCCCAGGCGCTTTCTCCTTGAACAATGGTGTCATAGCATTTATGCAATATGTTTAAACTCTCATCGAAATTTCGATGGCAGTGGCGGGTGACATCCATTGTAAGCTACCCCAATCTTACGGTGTATGTGTGAACATACTGGACCCTTAGATTAATAGTTGTATCAGGTCTTCTAAGCTCATCTAATTATTGCAGAACCTTGAAGCAAAGAGTGTATACAGGTAATAGCAAGAGGTCAGACTGCCCTGATTTTGCATGAACGCTATGAATACAAAAAATTACTACCGTGAGGTAGAACTTGTGTAGAGTTCGAAATTCAAGCATGCGTTCAATGCAAATGACCTTTACGTTCTTTTGAAATGCACCCTCCAGTTAGTGGTAGTACTTTTCAAGATAGGATTCCATTTCAAAGAACCCCAGGAAGTTGGACCTTTTGCTAATCTATACTCTTTGCTTAAAGTTACAGTAGGAATGAAATTTTTCAGGTATCACTGATAGTTCGACTTAAAGACTATCACACTCAGTATCACTTTACCTAAAACAATCAAACTGTTAACTAACCATCCAGATTTGCAATCTGTGTTATCTTTAAAAGAAATCTCAACTACCCAATCACTATAAAGATTTTATTTTTATTTAAACAAAACTTCTGGGATATGGTCATTAAAATTTAATATTATATAAATCATCAAAATGCAATTTAATAACATCAAATTGTTAGCTATCATTCATAAAAGAAAATAAAAGATAATTTATAAATTCTGTATGTAATAAAATCTTGTAGTCTGTGCTTTTGTACTAATGTTAAAATTTTCAATTTCCATTTTCTTTACAGGTAATGGAGAAGCATCAACATCAAAAAAATTAAAGTTAGGCGAAGGTGAGTACTGGGTGCAGATTTTAGAGGGTGCTATTACAAAGTAGAAACTGAAAGAGCCATTATTTCCTGGGGATTAACCCTTGGTACCAGGTTCAAGTCAATCTGCTGCTCTCCTGTGTTGGATTATGGGAGGGGGATAAAATGTAAGTATAAAAAGTGTACCGTCTTTCAGAAGAGACGATTAAGCTGCTGATTCTGTGTGTATGTACTGTGTGCATGTTGAAAAACGCAGTACACTCTGTCACCACCAGGAAGACTCCACCAGGAGACCACCAGGAAATAAGTCTTTAGACCTACAGTAGTGTGTCAAATTATATATTAATGCAAAATGGTTTGATTTTATTATTTTTTTTCACAATTGTTTTCACATGTACTGAGTATACAATACATTTCCACATCAAATAGAGCAAAAATAACACCTATAATTAATAATAATAATATTAATAATAATAATAGTAATAAATTATAAAAATAATAATAATTATTATTATTTAATATTATAAAAATAGAATTATATAAATTATAATAATAATCATAATTACCTTATAAGTTGGTCATTACATCATTATCATTTCCATACAATTTCTTTTCCCTACATCTTGTGTGTAAAAAGCTCAAAGCACATTGGCCAAGCACTGAATGCAAAAAACAACCAAATAGTACTTTATCATAATGTTTACACTGCATTTTTATCTCTTTAATGAAATGAATATATTTTTTTTATATGTTGTAAAACAGATTTTTGTCTGACACAACAAACTCAGGAACGGAATAATGAGATACACATTTTTGAATATTTAAAAACTGAGGGAAAGTTGGTTGCCTATATTGCATTCAGACTTAATATGTCAACCACCTTATTATCTCATATTTTGCTATTGTGTATTTACTGTATATACATTGTTGTATTTCTTTGTATTACAAATATTAAAGGTAGCTAAGTCTTCATTTATATACTTTTTTGGGTCACCTATTGACTATTTATTATCTAGATGTTTTGTTTTTAGTATGCAGCTCTATGCCACAGGAAAATATAAAGCTTATTTTATATAACCCCTTGTGAATAATATATTATGATATTTAATATTCATATTATTCAATCTTAAGTACTAGATTTTAATTTATTATACATGTTACTAATATAACATTATTAGTACTTTTCAATACTGTATGTAAAATCAATATTTGATTTACATTATATCATGTTTTGTCTTTTATAGACTCAGTCATCAGAGAATATTTTTTAGAAGAGCAGAAACAGTCTCTCAAAGAAAAAAATTACTACTGTCCTCCAACGTACATTGACGATACAATAGATATTGATGATTTGTTTACTGACCTGGAACTGGTTAAGAGAGAGGGTAGAGGTAAAAGAGTGGATGCAGTGTCAGCATCATTGGAAGAAATCCTGAATCTTATCAGTTCCAAAGATTCATGTAAAGTATTGATTGAAGGAGAGGGAGGGATGGGGAAAACCACCCTTCTTAGATATATATCCTACCGATGGGCAAATAAGAAAGACAATACTTTTTTGAGGGAAATTGTGTTTCTTATTAATATTAGGGATATAAAACCAAATGAAGATGTTATAAATGTTATTAGCAGGATTCATGTGGAAAACTTCAATCGCAGAAAAAAAATGGAAATAACAAGTGCTGAGTTGGGTAGTTTTATAACAAACCATGATAATGAGATTGTTCTGTTGTTAGATGGATTGGATGAATTGAATTCTGAAGCTACACGGCCAATTAATTTATTCGAAAATAAGAACTTCAGCAAAGTGCTTCTAACATCTCGCCCTGGAAATATTTCTGACTTCGCTAACAAGTGTAATGTTTATGTGAAGGTTTTAGGATTTAACTCAAACAGCATAAAACAATTCATTGACAATTTCTTTATTCGTGACCCTGATTCTGGCAAATCACTGAGAAAATATTTGTATAAATATGAAAAAGATGATGATGATGATAACTATAGTCAATTATATGACTTGTGTCGTTCACCAATGCTACTGCTCTCAATATGTACAATATGGAAGGAAAAGAAATGCCTTCCACAAAATCTTGCCAGCCTATTTGAGGAATTGTTTTGTTGCATTTTAAATCAATACAACAAAAAAAACCATGTAAAAAAGCTTTCTAATTTTGCCAAAATTCGACAGTATAAAAAGTATGAAAAGTATGAAAAGTGTTTTTCAATTCTTGGAAAATGTATGTATGAAAGCTTAAAAGAAAACAAGTTTTCAATAGAGTTTGATGACTTAAGTAAATACAATTCAAATGAAGACGAAAACTGCTTTGCCCTAGCAATTGGAATACTTTATAAAGAGCTACCAAAAAGTGCGCAAGACTTTTCAAATGTTTATACAGCTCCTTGAATTCTGAATCTACACGGCCAATTAATATATTCGAAAATAAGAACTTCAGCAAAGTGCTTCTAACATCTCGCCCTGGAAATATTTCTGACTTTGCTAACAAGTGTAATGTTTATGTGAAGGTTTTAGGATTTAACTCAAACAGCATAAAACAATTCATTGACAGTTTCTTTATTCGTGACCCTGATTCTGGCAAATTACTGAGAACATATTTGTATAAATATGAAAAAGATGATGATGATGATGATAACTATAGTCAATTATATGACTTGTGTCGTTCACCAATGCTACTGCTCTCAATATGTACAATATGGAAGGAAAAGAAATGCCTTCCACAAAATCTTGCCAGCCTATTTGAGGAATTGTTTTGTTGCATTTTAAATCAATACAACAAAAAAAACCATGTAAGAAAGCTTTCTAATTTTGCCAAAATTCGACAGTATAAAAAGTATGAAAAGTATGAAAAGTGTTTTTCAATTCTTGGAAAATGTATGTATGAAAGCTTAAAAGAAAACAAGCTTTCAATAGAGTTTGATGACTTAAGTAAATACAATTCGAATGAAGACGAAAACTGCTTGGCCCTAGCAATTGGAATACTTCATAAAGATCTACCTAAAAGTGCGCAAGACTTTTCAAATGTTTATACAGCTCCTCATAAATTGATAGCTGAATCATTGGCGGGACTCTACATTTGTTGGCAATGTCAAAAATGCACCAGTTTCTTATCTCAAGAATGGGATACAATAAGTACTAATAAATATTTGCATATGACACGCATGTTTGCCATTAACTTTCTTGGTGCTGATGCTGATAAATTGTTGCAACATTGGATCACAAATGATGCAATGGATTATCGGTCCCTTATGAATTACTTAATGAAGTTAGAAATAGAGCAGCAACCGACTGTAGTACGAAAACTGGATACTTGCATATCTAAAATGGACCTTGCAATTAAGCAACAATTTCCAAGTACTTGCAATTGCCTCAGAATGTTTGTGCTTCATTGTAATCCTGATATTGAAATCAATACTAATGACCATTTGATTCAACACGTAAGAGAAGTACGCATGCTGGAAAAGAAATTGGGTTCAAGCGTATTTACAAAGTCGGTAGATGCATGGATAGATGCATGTATTGAAGATAAAGCAATAGTACAAAATCCAGTGCATAGAATGTTAAGTCACTTGATGTTTGCTGCCAAAGATCAAAGATGTATCACCACAACAAAAGCTTTTTTATCTGGCAGTGATACTTTTTTTGACGATATTACTACTGAGTTTGAAAATCTGAATTTAGTTTATGATGATGAGTTAGAATTTAAATTTTGCGATAATTATATCAGTAGGTTCTTAATAGTTCATTTACTAAATTTTGTACCAGAAAAATTAGACTTGAACTTTGATAATTGCTCGTTATCAGGTACTTGTATTAACAGCGTATTCAGTAAGTGTTACAGTAACCTTGTCTATCTTGATATTTCAAGTAATAACCTGACTGGTATTGAAGGATTCTTAAATAATGTGCCAAATCTGATTATTTTGATAATGAATATGTGTAGTTTATCAGGTACAGAATTAGCAAAAATGGTCAGCAGTCTCAATATGTCAACTGTACCATTACAGAATTTGGAACTGGAAAACAACATATTTCATGACATAGAAGGAACATTGTTAAGTACTCTACTAGTTAATGCTCCTCAACTAAATCAACTTGATGTGACAAATTGTCAATTAACATCTGTTGTTATAAATGACATGGTCAGTGATTTAAAAAAAAATCATAGAAGTTTGGCCTTGACGGGTTTTATCATCAGTGAGAATGATCTAAAGGATATTGATGGACATATATTATCTGATCTATTGTCAATTGCTCCAAACCTTAGAATACTTGATATGATTAACTGTAACCTTGTAGGTACAATCATAAATAACATGATCGAGAATTGTCCAGTACATAATAAATTACATAGTCTTGATGTTCAAAATAACAATCTCAGTGACATTAATAAATTATCACTTGTTCAAATCAGAAGGAAATGTCCAAACTTAGTCTACCTTCATATGGGATCTTGCCAGCTTAAAGGAACCGTCATTAGGGATATGATGAATGAATTTCGTGTCACATCGGATGTGAGTTGGGAATGGAGTAGGCTTGATCTCCAGTACAATGATCTCCATGACATTGGGGATGCAACTATGTATGCGCTACTAAAAGTAAAAGGCGTGTTTGATTTGTTTGGTTGTATATCCACAATAGATCAATTGGATGCTGTTGTTGATAAATGTGTAAATGAAAACATTGTGCTACAATGTACTCATCTTAGCAATAGACGAATCAGTCAGCTTGGATGTATATCAGGAGCAACGTTAGGAAATGTGTTGAAAATTGCAGCTAAGCTTAAATGTTTGAGCTTATCAAGTTGTAGTTTATCAGGTGATAGTATTAAAGAGATGTTCAGCATTTGCAACATATTGGAATTAGAAGAGCTGGATCTGGCAAATAATCATCTCCATAATATGGAGGGAGAAACGTTAATTCATCTACTCACAAAGGCTCCAAAGCTTCGTATTCTTGATATAAAAAATTGTCAATTATCATCCATTGCTCTTTCCAAAATGATCAGTTTTTGTAAAGAAAATGGTGAGATACTGCTGGAGTTAATAGAGTTTAATCTTAATAAGAATGATCTAAATGATATTGATGGACATACATTATCTGATCTATTGTCAATTGCTCCAAACCTTGGAGAACTTAATCTGAATTCCTGTAACCTTGTGGGTACAATTGTAAACAACATGTTCAAGAATTGTCCAGTACATAATAAATTACATAGTCTTGATGTTGATAATAACAATCTGAGTGACATTAAAAAACTATCACTTGTTCAAATCAGAAGGAAATTTCCAAACTTAGTCTACCTTAATATGGAATCTTGCCAGCTTAAAGGAACCGTCGTTAGGGATATGATGTATGAATATCGTGACACCTTGGATGTGAGTTGGGAATGGAGTAGGCTTGATCTCCAGTGCAATGATCTTCATGACATCGGTGATGCAACTATTTATGCACTACTTAAAGTAAAAGCTTTGTTTGATTTGTTTGGTTGTATATCCACTGTATATCAATTAGATGCTGTTGTTGATAAATGTGTAAATGAGAACATTGTGCTAGAATGTACTCATCTTAGCAATAGAAGAATCAGTCAGCTTAGATGTGTGTCAGGAGCAACATTAGGAAATGTGTTGAAAATTGCACCTAAGCTAAAATATCTCGAAATGTCAGATTGTAGTTTATCAGGTGATAGTATTAAAGAGATGTTCAGCATTTGCAACATATTGGAATTAGAAGAGCTGTATCTGGCAAATAATCATCTTCATAATATGGAGGGAGAAACGTTAATTCATCTACTCACAAAGGCTCCAAAGCTTCGTATTCTTGATATAGGAAATTGTCAATTATCATCCATTGCTCTTTCCAAAATGATCAGTTTTTGTAAAGAAAATGCTAAGATACTGCTGGAGTTATCAGAGTTTAATCTTAATGAGAATGATCTAAATGATATTGATGGACATACATTATCTGATCTATTGTCAATTGCTCCAAACCTTAAAGTACTTGATATGAAGGACTGTAAACTTGTGGGTAAAATTGTAAATAACATGATCAAGAATTGTCCAGTACATAATAAATTACATACTCTTGATGTTTATAATAACAATCTGAGTGACATTAATAAATCATCACTTGTTCAAATCAGAAGGAAATTTCCAAACTTAGTCTACCTTAATGGAATCTTGCCAGATTAAAGGAACCATCGTTATGGATATGACGTATGAATATCGTGACACATTGGATGTGAATTGGGAATGGAGTAGGCTTGATCTCCAGTACAATGATCTCCATGACATTGGTGATGCAACTATTTATGCGCTACTTAAAGTAAAAGCCGTGTTTGATTGTATATATCTACTGTATATCAATTGGATGTTGTTGATAAATGTGTAAATGAGAACATTTTGCTAGAATGTACTCATCTTAGCAATAGAAGAATCAGTCACCTTAGATGATATCAGGAGCAACATTAGGAAATTTGTTGAAAATTGCACCTAAGCTAAAATATCTCAAATTGTCAGGTTGTAGTTTGTCAGTTGATAGTATTAGGAGATGTTCAAATTCAAAAAGGAAATTACCATTAAAATGAAAGTCATTGCTCAAAAATTACACAATTACAGTATCAAAAAAAAAACATCAATATAATAATACAGAATTATAAAGCATTCAGCATTTGCAACATATTGGAATTAGAAGAGCTGTATCTGGCAAATAATTATCTTCATAATATGGAGGGAGAAACGTCGATTGATTTATTCACTAAGGCTCCAAAACTTTATGTGCTTGATATGACAGATTGTCGGTTATCATCCATTGCTGTTTCCGAAATGGTCAGTTATATTGAAGAAAACGAAAAAAAATTGATGTTGGAAGATATCTATATTGATATTGACAGATATGTATTGTCAGTTGCTCCAAATTTACAAATCTAAGCTGGATATGGGTGATATTGATATGCAGGACTGAATTCTTGTGGGAATTGAGTTAAAATTGTCGATTACATAATAAATTACATAGTCTTAATATTTGTGTGATGTTAATAAGTATCACTTATTCAATTTAGAATGAAACTTGGTGGTTTAAGGGTATGTCAAATTAGCCTTATTTACTTCCTTTTAACAAAATACAATTACAACATA